CCGGGTCCGACTCCGCGCCACCGTCCCCGGCCACCGCCCCCGTGCAGGCCCCTGCGGTCCAAGTCTGCGAGCCTGCGCCCGAGGCCCCCTCCAAGATGGAGCCCAAGCCTATTGTCCCCAAAGCCGAGTCCAAGGCCAAGGCCCGCAAGACCGAGGCCAGAGGGCTGACCAAGGCTGGGGCCAAGAAGAAGGCTCGGAAGGAGGCGGCGCTGCTGGCAGAGGCGGAGGTGGAGGTAGAAGAGGTGAGTCTATGGGCAGAAGAGGCATCCGAGGTCCACAGGAAGGGAGGCAGGATTGGGGTGCAGGGCATTTGGGGGCGGGGAAGGCAGAATACTGGAGTGTAGTTTTGTCCCGGTGCCTAGAGGACTTCAGAGCCCAAATGACAAGGCAGAGATTCCCGCCTCACCTCCGGGTAAGTATCTTTGCCCCTGGTGTCCTATCCACAGAGGCAGGTCTCAGGAACCGGGTCAGCAGGGAGCCTGAGCCAAGGCAGGATGGGCCACCTGCTGGTGGGGAAGACCCAGCTTGCTCATCTGCTCAGGGTGTAGCAGGGATGGCTTCCTGGGGGTGGAGGAAGACCCCAGCAGGTCTTGGACTCTGGACCTTTCCATCCATGGGAGGCTGGACGCACTGCTGCAGAAACAGTGTAGCTGGGCTCTCAGGGGATGAGGAAGGCCACACAGGAGGGATCAGCAGTCCATCAGGCCTGCCACCCGGGTTCCAGGCCTGAGTCTCTCCTGCTCTGTGGTTTGGGATATACTCATGTCCCTTTCTGGACCCCAGCGAGGGCTTATGTTAATTATTTTCAAGAATCTTTTCAGCTCCCAAAGTCTGCCATCCAGGGTTCACAGTGACCACACAGGGGGTGCTCTTAGGAGGATCTTTCTAGAAGTTCCTGCGCCCCTGGCCAGACTTGTAACCTGACTGGGATTGTGGAGAGGCTGTTGGGACTCAGGCAGCCTCTGTCCACTGTTCCAGGTCCCCAATACTGTCCTCATCTGCATGGTGATCCTGCTCAACATCGGCCTGGCCATCCTCTTTGTCCATCTCCTGACCTGACCTTCGTCTACCAGGTGCGGCAGGGGAAAGCAGGAAAAGGGAGGAGCCCATAGGAATTCTGGGTCAGGGTGACAGGAGAAGGAACCCACTCGGGACTGGGCATCCATCCTGAGGCTAATTATTGTTGTTATTTTTTTCTGCCGTGCTGGGGCTTGAACCCACGACCTTGTGCATGCTAAGCAAGCATTCTGCTGTGGAGTCACATCTGCCCCTGGGTTTGGCAGATCTTGGGCTCCCCACCCCATTTGCTCACGCCTAGGTGTCCCTAGCTGCACACTTGGGGAGCTTTATTCACCCGTCCATTCGTTCATTGGACCAACATTTGCTCAGCAGCGCCTCCAGGAGGAGCTGTAGAGGCAGCAGAGACTCACTCCTGCCCTGAGGAGTGACAGCCAATCCTCACAGCCCACAGCGAGGAGATCTTCCAGTTCAGACATCAAGCTGAGCAGCTCTTGATGCTGTCCCCAGATCCCTGCATCTTGACAATCCACCGGAGATGGTGGGCAGGGCTAAGCACCACGCCCTCTTGCCCCACCTCAGTCCCTCCCACCCCATGCCCTTCCTCTGCCATTGGTTCCATCCCAGTTTTCTCTCCATGATGGAACTGGGGACTGGACACAGTCCTCTAAAAAAGGATGGGCTGAGCTGGTCTCAGGGTGACAGTCTTCCCCCTGCCAGGGCTGGCCTTTACAGCGAATCCTGGGCTTGGCAGTGCTCTCAGAGTTCCTGCCTATTGCCCCTGTCCTCTGCCCCCTCCCCCTGCAAGACAAACAACAACCCAAACAGCCCTTCTTTGATCGTAGCTTAGAGTGTGTTGGAGTTTTGTAGTCAGTCTCAGGAGAGGGAAGGAATCCCTGTGCCATCACTGTGTAGCTAGCCAGGGACAATACTAGCCTGGCAGGTCCACCTGGGGGTAAATGCTGAGCTCGTGGGCTGCCTGTTTCATGGGGATTTTGGAGCCTTTCCTGAAGGCACCAATGGCTTAGAGGATGGAAAGGAGAGAGCCCAGTGACAGAGGGGGAGAGGGAGGGAAGGAAGGGAAGAGTGGAACAGCAGAGGGAACAGCCTGTTCAAATAGGCAGAGGCAGGCATCAGGGCCCGGGGAGGCCTTGCAGAGTGCCAAAGCCAGGGGCCAGGTCTGCCCTGGTGGGGGGAAGGGGGCCGCGCCCAGCATCCCACTGGGTGGTCAGCCTTGGAGCACCCTTCTTCCCTCCCTCACCTCACCTCGTTGCTGTCCCTTTGCAGAGCCAGGAGTTCCGAGGACACCATGATCCATCTTTTTGCAATGCCCGGCAGGTGGCCAAAGAGGACAAGACTCTGCTCCTGGAGCCCCGCGCCCAGCTCACATCCACACCACAGACGCTTAAGGAGGCCTCCCGGGGCCGTGCTGTGGGTTGGGTGCCAGAGGAGTAAAACATCTGGGACCCCTCCAGGGGCGCTCTGCTCGGGGGCAAGGGAAGCCCTGAGGGGAGACCCCTGGTCTCTTGAGCTTCCTGATCTGCTCCTGTCCCCTGTCCTCACCCACTCCTTCTCCTTGCCCCTTGTCACCCAATCCCTGAGCTTTTGTGTGTTTTGGAAGAAGTCACTTAAGCAGGATGTTGATGTTCAATGATGTTCTCCCTCTTGCTCCTACCCCTCTCCCATTTTAACTTAGTCCCCTGGCTGGTGGCCCAAGGTTGCCTGGGAAGCTGAGGGAGTACTGAAATCCCTTGGACCGTGTTGTTGTACCCAGCACCCAGCTGGCCCTGACTTACAGAGGTTCTGGATGATGGTGGAGGAAATGGACAAGTTCAGCTGACTATCCCAGTATGCAGTGCTCCGCCTTCCCCCACCAATCCACTCAGCCTCCCTCCTGGCCCAGTAGAACAGGGGGAGACTGGGGAATGGGAGCCTTTGCCTAGGAGGCCACTGACCCCAGGGGGCAGGGCGGGAGGAAGGGTAAGGTGCAGTTGTGGTGGCCCCTGTTTGTGGGTGTGTCTGAGGCTGGAATTGCATTTAGAGCTGCTGATTTCCTTGGGGTCACTGTACAGAAGTTCTCGGGCCCATGAGCTACAGCTCGTATGATGCCCTATGTTGGCTTGTCCCCTTCCCCCACCAGGGCCACTATGGGCTCAGGGAGGCATGACATGGAAGGGAGGCAGATTTCCCTGGGCAGACTCTCAGGCGGGTGCTGAGAGATCAGCCTGGTGCAGTCTGCACAAGAAAGCCCCTTCCATGTGCTTGGCAAATGACACATGCACCTCACTTAAAGATGTCCTCACCACACTGTGTCTGGGCCCTCAGGCTTGCTGGGGGGTGGCCTGGGGGCTAAGGGCTGTGGTTCCCTGTCTCCAGGAAGAAGGGAAAGAGCTCCCAGGCCCACCCAAGCCCTTCCTGGGGAAGGATGTGGCCACAGCATCCGAGCTGAGCTGGAGGTGCTGCTGCTATTCTGTTTCTCTGGACTTTGGAGCCTCCATGTGGTGCCAGGCTCCCCCCCCCCCAGGGCAGGTCAGGACTTCGTCATTTGGAACAACTTTCCCTTCCCCCTTCTCCATCCTTGGGAACCTTCCCCTCTAGCTTTGCACTTGCCCGTTTCCAGCTGTCACAGCCTCTAGCGTGGCTGGAATCCTGAACTGTGCTTCTGCAGAGAGGAGCCTGCAGACGCCCCCATCCCAGCCAGCTGTGGGCACCACTCTGCATCTGTGTCTGGGCTTTTCTGGACTCCTAGAGAATGAGGGGGTGGGGTAAGGCTCCTCAGGGCTGACAGGCTCCGGGCCTCAACTCTAAGATCATTGCTCTGGGTTTTTGGGTCTGGTCCTGTGCTGGGGACGAGCCTGTGGCTGCCAGAGCTGTGGGGCCTGGTTGGAACCGGTGTGGGGGTGGGGGCTCAGGTGCTACAGGCTGTGCAATAATAAACTTGTGTCTGCTCACAGGCTCCGTGGCCCAGCTGCAGTGTCTGCATGTGGGCCAGGATGAGGGCCTGGCGAAGGAGAGGCGGGGGAAGCTGGTCCTGCTGGTCTAGGTCCTCACGTGCTCAGAAAGTTCCCGTAATGCTTTTTGAGGGGCAATGAGGGGCTTCAGTACTGGAGGAGCAGCTCAGGGGCTATAGACCTTGCACAGTGGAGTCTGTTTCTAAAGCAGACATCCAGGAGCAAGAGCCTGCCCTTAGAGGAGGAAGACCCTTGGATCCCAGTCCTGGCTCACTTTCTCCACTTCTCAGAGTCTCAGTTTTCTCATCTATAGAATGGGGGTTACAACACCACCCACCTCCCTGGGTTACAGTGAGGGTTACATTCAACGTTGACACTTACGTATAACCCAGCTGTTGAGAGCAGCCGGGAGACAGACAGGCATCCTTATTGTCATCAGGTCACAACACAGTCACCATACCTGTCACACACCCTCTTGCATTTTGATGGAGGATCCCCAAACCGTAAAGAGATGGAATCGCCTTAGGCCCCAACTGCACAGTCCCAGCATGTCTCAGTCACAGGGAACCTCCATGCCACCTCCACAGAGGCTCAGAGGAGAAGGGACCTGCCCCAAGTCACACCAGCCTGTGGAGGGACATGGTTCTCTAGCTTGCTTGGGAACAAGCCCTATCATTAAGCTTCTCTCAGTGGGTGGCCTCAGCAAGTGGGCCGCAGGGTAGGGTCCCTCACCCACCGGCAGGCTCAGGCTCAATGTTCAGGTCCTCAGGAGCCCTGGTTCTCTCCCAAGCACCTCCTCTGGCTTGGCATGTGTCCCCGGCCTCCCTCCCTCTCTGTGCCTTGGTTTCCCCTTATGCCAAGGAGACTGTCCATGGCCTTCTTCCCAGGAAGTGCAGCCGTGAGGATCAAATGAAGTAGATTTGGGGTGGTGAAGACTGCTTAGAGCCTAGGGAGCGTGGGAGGGCTGACTTAGAATGACCTGGGACGGCTGGCAAAGAAGGTGGCTTCCTGAGCTGGGATTGGAGACCCCATCAGGTAAGGTTGGATGGAGTCGGGCTCCTCCAGCGGCTCAGGACCCAGCCTGGCTGGTACCTCCCCTTCCAGCCTCGGTCCCTGGTGCCCTAGGAGATTTAACCAGTCCCCTGCCATGTTACATTTGAGGTGTTCTGTACCATGCTGGAACCACAGGGAAACCGTGGGCATTGCTGGGACCTGCGATCACTGACCACTACCATGGGGGAGGATTTGCCAGACTCTTCCAGGGCAGAGAAGGGGAAGGGGCTGGGAACTATGGGAGCCAGATGCAGGGTTTGCAGCAAGAAGGGGAAGTTCCATGATCTTTGATGGACCCACAGAGGATCTGGCTGTGCTGGTGGTGCAGGCCTAGAGAGGACCTTTGGAGGCCACAGCCTGACAAAGCCACACGGAAACCTGCCTCTCCCTTATGGAACTCAATAAAAAAACCCTAAAATCTAAAATGCAAAATGGAAGTTTCCCGAAATTAAAAGAGCTCAGAACTGTTCTCTTTGTGCCGATTTCTCTGTTGTCAGAGATCAAACTCCCCTTTCCTGTCTCTCTCCGCTTCCCCTGCTGGATGGTTCCGTGGTCAGCTCTGGGCCGGGCCCTTTGCTTCCTTCGTCTGGGGGCAGAACAGCAGCAGTGTGGCTCAGCACGTGGGCTCTGAAGCCAGGTTGCTGGTTTGAATCCCGCCTCTGCCTCTTCCCAACTGCAACCTTCTTCGTGTTCTTTCCCAGGGTGATTATCACCATGTGAGTGAAGTGCTTAGAACAAAGCCCAGCACCTGTGAGCGCACAATCAATGCGCTATTCTTTTCACTTTGCAGTAGCTCCATAGTGTGGACATTAGCCCCTCCATTTTACAGATGAGGAAACTGAGGCTGGGAGAGCTGGAGTGATTGGTTCAGGTCCTATGGTGAGGGAAGGGCAGAGCTGGGACCAGATCCCGCAGCCTCTACTCTCCACTGACCTCCCTCAGCGAGGAGGTGAGCGCACCCAATCACTGGTAATCAACCAGCGGAGCGAAGACGGCCACTAGGGGCGCTGCAGGGGACTCATGTGCTGGACACCGGTGCACAAGACGCTTTGGAAGGAAGGAGGTTTTGACGTGTTCGGTCCTCCAGGGGCTCATGTGTCGGAGGCCTGGTCCCCGGTGGCCGTGGTCAAGTTTGGGGACCTTCAGGAGGAAGGCCCGGGGAGGCCCATAGGTCGTTGTGGGAGCCGCCCTTGGAAGGCAACAAGATCACCCTCGTGGGACCCTGACCTCTTATAAAATCAGATGTTGTGAGTACACCCGACCCCAGAAGAGCTCTCTGGCTTCCTGGGTAAGGACGTGACCTCTCACCTCACACTCACTCCTCCATGTGCTTTTGCCAAAGAGCCACCTGACCAGAGGCCAAATCAATGAGGCTGCCTGATCTTTAGCCTCCAAAACTTCAAGCTACATAAACTCTTTATAAAATTAGCTTGCTTTAAGCATTTTCTTAATAAAAAAAATGTAGGAATACAGAGTCCCTCAAGAACTGTGAGCAATATAAATAGTTGTATTAATTCACAAAGTTTGGGTGCAGCTTGTCACACGGCACAGCTGACTGATACACCTATACTTTGATAGCTCCGCCAATCACTGACCGATATTTACAGATTGACTTTACTCCTTGTCGTTACTTGACCAGAAAACACTATCCGTGCACAAGCCACAACCCCAGAGAGACAGGCTCCTTTTCTTTTCTTTTTTTAAATTTTAATATTTATTTTTTAGTTCTCGGCGGACACAACATCTTTGTTGGTATTTGGTGCTGAAGATCAAACCCAGGCCGCATGCATGCCAGGCGAGTGCGCTACCCCTTGAGCCACATCCCCAGCGGACAGGCTCCTTTTCAAAAACACAAATCATGTCCAAAATCTGGAGGCAGCCCTGGGGGAAGGGAAGGGACAGCAGTGAAACAGTGTAGAGGCCATGTTGGGGCAGAACTCAGGGGTCTCGGAGGGCAGGACCAGGAACCCAGAGTCCGGCGGCAGAACCGCTGTGCTGGGGAGGGGGTCACCCTCCACACAGCTGGGAGGGTACATCCCATCCTGGCTGAGCCAGCTGTGCCATTTCAGCTGGAGCAATGGCATCAAAACCCAGGCGGCCCTTAAAGGGCTGTAGGTTGTGGACAGGGCACTGATGGCCACAGCTAGCCAGGCAGGGCCAGGGTGCAATTAGAAAAGGCAACTCTTCTTCCGATAATTTAACTTTTAATTTAAAAAAATATTTTTGGTACTAGGAATTCAACCCAGGGACACTTGACAACTGAGTCACATCCCCAGCACTTTTTATTTTGAGACAGTGTCTCAGTAAGTTGCATAGGGCCTCACTAAATTGCTGAGGCTGGCCTCAAAGTTGCGATCCTCCTGCTTCAGCCTCCTAAGGTGCTAGATTGCCATTGTGTGCCACAATGCCTGGCTTCCTCCAGTAATTTCTAAGTCAGTATGTCATCACAGAGCCTGAACAGTCAAGGTCAGCCCTGGGGGACTGCTGAACCAAGGCAGGACATTCCCTCCAGGTGTGGGTGATGGCGGTCAGAGCTCTGGGGGAAGGAGAAGGGCAGCAGAAGGAAAAGACTCCAGACCTGGAGCCGAGAGCATTTCTATAAAACATGGGGAGGAAAAGGTGTCTACATCAAAACTTCATTGACGAAAGCTAAGAGGGCAGATGGTGTGAAGCAGGGCAAGCTCTGGGATGGGGCAGGCCACGAGGAGTGGCTTCGTGCTGCAGGCTCAGCGGCTGCATCAGAGCAAACAGGGCGCGGCCGCCTGGTTCTCCATGAACTTAGGTCATGGTTTCACATACATTCAGGTCCGTGCAGCAGAGTCCGTGGGTTTTTGATTAGCTTTCCCTCCCCACTCTATAGCCTTTGTAATTAAATTCAAGACAACTCAGGATTTTCCTTTCCATCATGGGACTGGGGACCTCGACCCTTCAGAAGGCTTCTGGCTTCAGAAGCTCGCCAGGGGAGCCCGAGCAGCCTCCCTGATCTCGTGTCTTGCTTCTGATCATTGCCCTTCCTGTCTCTGGAAGCCTTTCCAGCCCCCAGAACCAGCTAGTTAGTCACACGGTCATTTGTCTGGTAAGGAGGTCAGTTGGTAGTCCCGGCTTATCACATGTGTGGTTAAAATGAATTGGCCAGATTGCATCTTCTGCTCCGGGAGACGGTTTGGCAGGTAAAAGTATACCTACGTGGCAATTCAGGCTTTTCAATCCCACATCAAAATAACTGAAAAACTATGTCCAAGAAGACGAACAGGGATGTTCACAGAAGCTTTAGACATCATTGCCCAAAACTAATAACACCCACATGACCATCAACAGGAAAATGGAACACAAACCGTGCTCTTCCCAAGACAATGGCATCCTACTCAGGAATAGCAAGGAACAAGTTACGGGAAATGGATGAATTTAAAAGCCATTATATTAGGTGGGAAAAAAAAGCATATGTCTACACGGGACCTACTAATGCATCTGTTTATATGAAATTCTAGGAAAAGCAAAATCAAGCTGAAAGTGATAGGAAACCAGAACAGTGGTTTCCCTGGGGCCGTGGGCCTGGGGATCAGCGCGAAGAGGTGGGAGGGAATTTCTGGGGCGTTGGGCTATGGATGGTGCCTGGGATGGTGGTGACACTGCATTTGTCAATACGAATCCATCTGTGCTTCTCAGAACTGGGCATGTTTGAATATGTAATTTAGACCTCAGTTGTTTTGTTTTAAAGAGGTTTAATTTTTTTAAATAAAAAAAAGGTCATTTTAAAAGCAAGAATTCTTTGGTCAGGCCCCAGCTATTCCAAAGCAAAGGCTTGTCCACCAGCTAGTCATGACCAGTCACACACACAACTGGCTGCATTTATTAGGATGCACTGGTGTTGGTGGAATGATTAATTTTTGTTCGTTTCTGATCGGTCTGAGGGGGCTACTGGGATAGATCTTAGTCAATCAGAGAAATAGCTGCAGCCACCTGGATTTGGGAGTGGAAGGGGTGCCTCTTTGTTGGACAAATACCAACCACAGAGAAGAGTTAGCCTTGGACTGCTTGCTTCCCACCCAGGCTCCCCCACTATCTAGCCCTGGGCAAATCACTCACCTTGGGGAGCCTCAGTGTTCTCACCTGTGAAATTCAGATAATCATCTACCTATTACACAGGGATGGCCAGATGAATAGGTGAGATGATTGGTCTATAGTGCCCAGCCCAGGAGCCAACTGGAGGTAATGACAAGAGTGTCCCCCATCCCCAGTGACTCCAGGCCTTCCTCTCTGGGGGGGAGGGGAATAGATGATGAATTCACCCTTTCTTGGTCTTTGTGACTAATACAGGCATCCTTGTAGGGAACTTTCTTTTTTTTTTTTGAGACAGAGTTTGGCTACATTGCCCAGACTGGCCTCCTGTGTTATTTGGATTCCAGGCATTTTTAATTTAAAAAAGAAGCATGGATAGGGAAATCCAAAGGAATATCTTGCTCCATGGAAGCTCCAGGTGCCTATATTTTAGGTCAGGGGCTCCAATCCAGAGTGACCCCTCTCTGCTATCTCCCAATAAATTAATAATAACTGGACGCCCACCTGATTCACCTGCTCAGCAGAGGAAGGGACATTGGTAGTGAGGGACCAGGGAAATTCTGATCCTAGGAACACGCTGGAGGCCTGCTAAGGTCAGGTTAAGATCGTAGCCAGCACTTATTAAGGGCTCACTGCGTGTCATGTGGTATAATCCTGTCATGTTAAATTGTCAGTGCCACTTAATGGGGCCATAATCATTGGTAAGGGTGAATATGGAGGCTGAGTATGGAGGTGTTGCTTGCTTGTGTCAGATCTGGATACAAACCCATAGTTTGACCTTGAAGGTTCATTGGGCTACTAACCTGTTAGGCCAGCCACACTGCCCTGCAGTTCTCACCTCTGACCACCAAGAGGTGCCACCGCTTCACACATGAGCGCTGTCATAAATTTGCACTAGAAGAGACGACTTCTTCAAAATCATTGTCACTACTTCCTGATTTCTCACAACAATAATAGCTACTATTCATTTAAGTGTTTGCCTGCATGCCGGACCCTGCACCCTGTATTTCACACACTTCATTTCATATCTGCCTCGCTATAGTTCTAGGAGTTGAGACAGGACTGCATCACACAGATAAGAAGCTAAGGTTCAAAACCAGGTCTGAGTGTCTGTCTTCAAAGCCCACCCCTCACCAGACACTTGTGGGGGATCACAATGGAGATGCTCAGAGGCGGCATCTAGCTGGCCCGTGTGGGCTTTTGTCTGTTTGTGGTGAGGAGGGTGGTTTTGAGCACACTTTGTTCCTGTCACCTGCCAGGCCCCGATGACATTTGAATTTGCAACTCTACTTGGGCTGATAATAGTTTCCTGGTTCCACTTATACTAATGACATTTTGTGGACTGGAGTCAAAGGAGCTAAGGAAAATACCTGAGGGGAAGCTTGGAGGTACGGGAAGGCACCTGGGAAA